AAACCTTTTTGGATCAAACTCGCTTTTGATCTTCATTTAGAGAATTGATATTATGATTGGGCAATGGATTGCTACTAACATTAGGTGTTGTTATCATTAATGTATCAAGTTTATCATTATATCATTGATCAATTGTTACACTTTATGCTTTAAGACAGTGTAATTTTTAATGGAATGTCCAGCAATTCCATAGTGGTAGTCATAATAAGCTATAGGATCATACCATTTGGGATAAAGTGACTTGAGTGACTCTGATAACTGAAGGTAATTAAGTGGTTCTTGTAGAGCTCTCAGTATAACTCCGTATAAGTTATAGGGATTAGGTCAAATATATATTTTTTTCGAATAGTTCATAGCTCTTATGATCCACTTGTTGAGTTAGCAGGATGAATCTGAGGTCTTGTTAGAGGTTGACTGTTTAGGTTATATATAGGAACTTAGGGTAAAAAATGAATTGATATGTTAGTGAGTAAAATGGCAGTGGGACTGATTGATATGGGTAGGATGAGGTATTATTCACTGCAAGACAGTACGGAGAGTAACCTTATGGTGGATAATGCTAATAACCTTTGAACTGTTGTTTGTCAAAGCCCACCGCTTCGATTTCAGTCTCATTTTTCCTTGGAACTTTCTTAATGAAAGCTTTTCCTCCTTCCAACTTGTCATTCTTAATAGTATTTTCAATGATTTCACTTGATATCACTATGTTGGTGAAATTTGTTTTTGCATTCCTTATCATCTTTTCATAATAGGAAGATTTCAAAATGCTGACAAACAACATTGTGGTCTCTTTTTCAGTTAGAAAAGGTACTTGAGTAGTTATATCTTTCCAGCTTTAAGTGTACTCTTTGAATGATTCAGTGGTCTTTTTCTCCATATTTTGTAAAGATAAATGATTAAGAGTTAGATCTATAATATGTTGATATTGACCAATGAAGTCACGAGCCATATCACTTCAAGATTGGATATGAATCCTGTCTAACTAAATATATCACCTAACAGTAGAGCCAATAAAGCTGTTTTAGAATACGTGCATTAACAACTTCTCATTATTTACATGGGCAGTCATCTTTTGATAGTATATGGTAATGTAAGTTTTTGGATACTTTGTACAATTATACTTCTCAAACTTTAGAACCTTGAACTGCGAAAGAATAACAACATCTGGGACTAAACAAAGGCTAGTTGTATGCACGAAACTATAAAAACCAATTCCCTCCACTGTTCGTAATCTTTCCTCTAACAAGTTCATTTTCTATTCAGCTTTTGAGCCTTCTAGAGTCTCATTCTTCTTAAGCCTCAGCTTTTTTTTCTCCTCTAGCCTATCCAAGTTGGGAATTGATATTTGTTCTACTACTTTCTCAGTAAAAAAAATATTTACATAACTTTTGTATTACCCTGGATTTGAAGTTGATGGCATTCTGAGATATGTGTACCTTACAGAATAGGTAAATTACTGTGATGGTAGATCTTGTGTGGATTGGGCTTGTTGTAACCCAAAACCAAGATGATATATAGGATTAGTCACCTTTTGTGATGGATGCTCTTGTTGGTTAGTATTTTTCTCTATCCTCTTCTTTTTATTTAACTTGTTTAAGGTATCTAAAATCTTACTCAACTCTCTTTCAAGCTTCTTTTGAGCTTCCTCTATCCTCTCAAGATGATTAAAATTTTTTTGTTTCATTTGTTTGGCTCGAGCTCTTGTATTGTATTGGTGAGTTGGATTCTTACTTGGTGAAACTATCATTGAATCTTAAGCACCACAATTACATTATCAAAAGTGCTTTGTGTTTGCTATTCCAATGCATGAATGCAATGTATATTTCCATGGATAAGATCTATTATGTGGCAAATATTTCATATATGCACAATGTTAAATATGACAATGAAAATGATGCATGATATGATAATGCGAATGCACAAAGTTAATCAAACAAGATGGTTAGATCACCAAATTGTTCTTTCTTTTGTCTTAATTTTGACGTACATCTATCAATGGACAGAAAAGCTCTATCTTAAGGATGGCCTCTTAAGTGTAGATTATATACAAGGTTAGATGACTTTGACCACTAAAAGTTCTCAAATTGTTCCTTACATCATGCTCCATTACAAACTAGTAAGGCATTCAAATCTTCACCCATCATAGGCTGCCAACGAAAAGGGTTCAATTTGAGTGGGAGTATTTCGTTAACCATTGTAGAGATTATCATCTTACAAGAGCATAAGTATTTTCTCCCTCCTAAAAAGGATAGAGCCCGAGTATAAAGCTCATGTAATACAAATGTATGTGATAGTGTGCGTGAAGAAACATATAATTGTTAACCCCATAAACAAAATAAAAGACAAAAAAAAGAAAAACGTTAGTAAACAAATAACACAAGCTTTACACTTTAAAACCATTAGACCAAATGATAAATTTAAAATTTATGGCCTGACTTTCTAGCGGTTCCCAATGGAGTCGCCAAACTAACATAACGTATAGATTCGAAAACTTATAGCTAGACCTAACAAATGAAGCCACCACAAATCTTTTTTAACAAGGTATGATTGGCCACCTAATGAATCCATCATTTGAAGGAGTTCTTAAGCTTGACTAAGGGTCTCTAAGAGAATAGATTTTAATCTACTAATCAAAATAGGGTTCGGGAGTTCGGTTACATATGAGGAAGGTTATAGCACCCCTACATGCCCATCCAAATGATGGTACTATTTTTTTAAAATTATCCTAAAGTCTTGATGCTAATGGTCTTAAATTTAATGTTGAATATTGAAAATAATTTTTAAGATTCTTTATCAATCTGGTAGATTTTTTAAAAATTATGTCATCACCTCAAAAGTATTCAAAAATCTCATTTGTTTTTTTGAAGCGGTTTCGCCGTTGAAAAAAGATTTAATTATTTTTTATTCTTTATTTTTTTATTTTTATTGAAAATATATCTAATTATCACAACATTTGGGCCAAATTAAAAATATCTTTTCTTTTGAATTTTTAAAATTTTCACCATTTGGGTCTATTTAGAAATTTCTTTTTATTTTTCTTTGGAAAGAAAATAATATGACAAATATTTTCTTGAAATTTCATTTAAATTTTTTTCATCATTTGGGATAAATTTAAAGATATTTCTCACCTAGAGTTTTCTTAGAAAATTTATCATTTGAAATTTTTAAGATTCTCATCATTGGATAATTATCAAATATTTTCAACCAAAATTTTTTATTTGGAAAAGAATACAATTACTTTTATTAAAATTTTATCTAAATTATTTTATCATTTAGGACAAATTTAGAAAAATTTCTCATCTAGAGATTTTTTAAAAAAATTTCTATTTGAAAATTTTAAGAATGTCATCCTTGGGTAATTTGTATTTAATTCCAAAATTTTTATTAATATTAATATTAAAATTTTTTTTTATTTTTTCTCTTTTTTTAATTAAAAATAAATATTAATTATTATTATCGAAACTTTATCTCAATTATTCTGTCATTTGAGACAAATTTAAAATTTTTCATCAAGGAATTTTATAGAAATTTACCATTTAAAATTTTTAAAAATTTCACTATTAGATAATTATTATTTATTCTCAAAAAAATATTTTATTCTGTTTTATATATTTTTTTATTTTTTAAAATTTAATCATGCAAAGAAAATACTTATAAAATAAATATAATAACTAAATAAATAAATAAAATTAAAAAAAATCAAAAATGGCTCGAAGGCTCGACTTGGTTAAAGGAATCGATTGGAACTCAAATCGACAGAAGCGAGTTAGCGCTTGGGTCAGGTTGACTTGAATAAAAACACGCGGATCCTAAGACCTTCTAAGGCGAAAATGACGTGGTTTTGGTTAGATATAAATAGGACAGAAATCACTTTTCCCTTTAAACTTCTTCTGCTTTCTCTCTTTCTTCTTCATTTTTCTCTCTTTTTCTTTCTAGAAACCCAAAAATCTGATTGAATGTTTCACTAAAAATTGAAAAAAACCATCAAAAATTGGAAAATATTGTCGAAAAAGATGAATGTCACTAGAAAATTTTGTCAAAATATGAAAATTTTCTAAAAAATTTTTAGAAAAAAATTGCAAACATTTCTGTTTTAAACCCTAAAATTTCTCTAACAGTTCTAGACTTTCTGGCTATTTTTGTGTGATACTTTTTTCTTCAATTTTTTTGTATTTTTCCCTAAACATTGTGTTTCTCTGATCTGTCTCCTATGTGTATGATTCAAGGATGTATTTATAGAGAATAATTAGTAGAGCTTTTGATTAACTATGAATCCACATTTGATTGGAATTTTGTATTATCAGAAGACATCAGATTTATCCTATTGCAAATTAAAACTAACACCAATTCTACAAACACCAGTTCACAACAAAGAGTTATTATTATTTTTTTATTTTTATTACTAGCTTTTACTATTATCCTATTATCACTAGAAAAATTAAAGATAAATCAAATAAAAAAAATAAAAAAAATCAAAGATAAACAAAAAAATAAATAATAATTAATAAAAAGATAAACCTAAAAATAAATAAATAAATAAGTAAATAGATAAATAATAAATAAATAAATAAAATATAAAATAGTATTTGCTCAAATATTGATCCACATTGGAGTTTCTCATCCCTGATCGTTAAAATCCCTTTCTTATAGCAACTTTTTCCATACTTAAAATGGTAGATTTCTTCTGTGTCTTACCTGTTTGAGACTTTATAAGTTGTTTCTTTGAGCTTAATTAAGTCTCCATGGTGGTGGCATGTGGTGCTGAAAAACTTCTAAGCATAATCATTCTATTCTACTTGGTTGTTTCTACTTCTTTTCCCTTTTTTCTGCTAGCTGTACATATTGCTCATATCCTTTTTTTTTTTTTTTTTTTTTTCTTTTTGTTTATGCTGCAAAACTCCCAAATCTTATTTTCATAGCAAATTTTCTGTTGCAACATAATTTTTATTTCCACTTTATGTTTGTTGCAGATTATAATTTTATGATGTTTTACTGTCTAGGTTTTTGCATTTCAGAGCTTGACCCAATACTACACTAATCAGATGGCATTGTGCGTACAAAACCATGCTAATGTGCTTCCCATTGATACATCAAACGAGTTTCCTGGGTATGCCTGTCTCCTTGGTCATATATTAGAAACAGCACGTGCTGCTTTATCTCAGCCTGACTGCTCATTTGAAATGGTAAGAAGCTGATTTTTGTTTTAATTGAATCAGATGCTTTTCTGCTACTAGCTTTTCCATAGGTGCATAAGTAAATGCAAGCATATCGTTGAGATATTGAATGGACCCAAATAACGTCCCTGACTTCCTTCTCTTAATTTTTTTTCAGTTGTAATCTTAATATTTCCATCAAAGCTGCTTCTACGTTTGCACTAAATGTGGTTATTTACTTTTATGTTTGCATTAATCTGCTTCTTATGTTAAAAAAAAAAAATCAATTTTTAATGTAATTAGGTTTTTGAGCTAGTTTTTACTTTTATTTATTTATTTTTATTTTGAGCAGGCCATAGACCTCGCAGCAGTTACAACTTTCTTGTTGGAATCTCTTCCTCCAATAAAGTCTTCAAGCAGAGAAAGTATGCCTTGCTTCTTGATATGGCATCTTTCTCTTTCTGTTTCCTCCTTTTATATGCTGATGGTGTTTTTTTAGCTTCCTCAACAAGAAATTTATAAATTTGGTTGCAGTACAGGAACTATAACTTGATATTTTGCACACAAAACTCCTCTTTTAAATTGGTTCATTGAAGTGCACATGCATAAATATTTGGCTTCAGGTTCTACAGTTGGGGAGGATGATATGACCATAGGTGATGAAGTAGTGGAAATAACGTTGGATGATAATTTGGAACGACAGATAACCAATGCTGTTGATTCATGCTTTCTTCTGCAATTGGTAGCCTGTCTTGACGCTTTCTGTTAGTTTGAAAATGACTTTGGCCATTCTTATGAAATTGGTGTTTTCTTTTCAAAATCAAAGAAATGGTTCAAATTTTGATTCTTCTGGGCAGGCTAATGTGTTATTTGGAGGGATTTCCACTGTATGTGGTTCACATAATGAAGGACCAGATGATAAGGAAGTGGCAGCCGTTGCTGTTGCTTGTGCTTTTCTGCATGTTACATTCAATACTTTACCTCTAGAGAGAATCATGACCATACTAGCGTACAGAACTGAACTTGTACCGGTGCTTTGGAATTTTATGAAGCGATGTCATCTAAATCAAAAGTGGTCATCCTTTGCTGAGCGATTTTCATACCTCTTGGGAGATGCACCCAGCTGGCTGCTACCTCTGTCCGTATTCTGTCCAGTGTACAAGTAAGATGATTGGTTGATTTCTTTTGATTTCTGGCAGAATAATTTTGTGCAATTCCTCTTGTGTGTTTCATTCTCAACTTATTTTTATAAATGGTTATTGGTGTTTTCAGATTGATGACTGACTAGTCGAGCTTCTTTGTGGTTGATTAGGCACATGCTTATGATAGTTGATAATGAGGAGTTTTTTGAGGAGGAGAAGCCACTTTCTCTGAAGGATTTCAGATGCCTAATTGTCATTCTGAGACAGGTGACTTTGTTTTGGAAACTTTAGTTCAACAAACTATTATTTAAACTGTAAAGCAATTTTTAGTTTTGATTCAGAAAAACATCTTTTATTCACTGGACTTTCTTTAGATTAAGGACATAATTTATGGATATCCATTTACCATATGATAGCATTGGTGGAAACCATGATTGTTATGACTACTACAGAATTGCTTGTGCTGGAGTGACCTTGCTTAATGGTCTAACCAAAATTCATGTACTTCTGTTTTCCTCCTTGATACAGGCTTTGTGGCAGCTCCTATGGGTGAATCCTTCAGCTCACCCTAGTTCTGGGAAATCTGTCTCCAACACATTTGCTCGTAAGAGGCACCCTATTGAAGCTACACAAAATAGGGTTGGTACGGTAGCCACTGAGCTCCTCTCCCAGGTAGAAGCCAGTGTAACTTGTTGAATTTCTGGCTTCCCATTTGTTGACATTTTGTCTTGTGCATGATATAACAAATTATATGGGCTGTGCTCAATAAATAAATAGAATGATGCATTTCTTGAAACAATGGCATTTGGGAAAACATTACACTGTTTTTTTTCCTTTCTGAATTTTTTCATTTAAAACTGCTCTTATAGTTGCAAGATTGGAACAGTCGGCAACAGTTTACTCCCCACACCGACTTTCATGCTGATGGTGTAAATGACTTTTTTATTTCTCAGGTAGTAGCTTCTCAATTGCTGCTTTAAGTTGCAAGTATCAATAACTTTTATGCAGCTTGTTTGTTCTTATCTCAATTTTCCCTAGCAGGCTGCAATGGAAGGTACAAAAGCATGTGACATATTGAAGCAAGCACCTTTCTTGATTCCATTCACTAGCAGAGTTAAAATATTCACTGTGAGTAATTAGCAAATTTTGCTTCCAATCTTTAGTTGGAAACTTTTGGATCTTGAAGAATAAGATCAAGCTGTTGTTATGACTATCGTTATATGAATTCCTTGAACTAGTTGGTTGGAGAGTTGCCTGGGAAAATTTTCTAGCATTTGGATTCTTTTTCACTGATATTTACTTTCCTATTTGCTTTGCTTTGTATCATCTCTCTATACCTCCATCTACCAGTCACAATTAGCATCAGTTAGGCAGAGACAAGGTGCTCATGGTGTTTTTCCCAGAAATCGATTCAGAATACGAAGGGATCACATTTTGGAAGATGCTTATAATCAGATGAGTGCATTGTCTGGAGAGGATCTTAGAGGATTGGTATGCTTTACTTAAGTATTCTCACATATGAAAACTTTATTATCTTTAGTAGCTTTGTTGAATCTGGTCTCTGCCCTCTTGACACAGTCCAGCAATGATATAATCTGTTTTATTTGTTTCCGTACAGATTCGTGTAACATTTGTCAATGAATTTGGAGAAGAGGAGGCTGGGATTGATAGTGGTGGAATTTTCAAAGACTTTATGGAGGATATTACTCGAGCTGCATTTGATGTGTGGTATGGGTTATTTAAGGTTGTTAATCTATGCTACCACTTACCCTTCTTGTCACATACATGAGTGGTTTATTATGCTGGTTGGGACATATATCCACGATTTCTTTTTTAAACTTCAATCATGGTAAAGATGCAATTAATGGCTTTCTTACCTTTCTCAAGTGATGATAAGGTTTAAGATGGCGGGCGTTTTTCTGATCAAACAAGTTGAGATGGAAGATCAATTTTCAGTTCTTGCTGAACAAGGGAAAGATAAAGAATAATCAGATTTTCTTGATCATATATTTTTTTAAAATAACAAATATGTGCTTGGCTTGATTTGTAAAGAAAGAGATGTTTCAATGGAATATTTAAATGATAAAGATGGATTTTTTAACTGATTGGAATCTGAACATGGTATAAAGATGTAGAAGAGACCATGGAATTTAAATGGATATATTATTACCCTCTGGTACTGGATGTCTTCTGAGACTAGTGAGTCTGCTATGGTAGATTATCTTTTCTTGTTTTTTCATTTAAAGTCAACTTTGTTTGTCACTTATAGGGATCCTTTAACTTTCCTCACTTGTTATGCATTGTTTTTTTCTTATAACTTGTGTTTCTTCTAACATACTACTTGGCATACTTATTTTCTTCTAACATACTACTTGGCATACTTATCCAGGAAACATCTGATCACCTCCTATACCCTAATCCTGGATCAGGAATGATACATGAACAGCACATCCAATTTTTCCATTTCTTGGGAACACTTCCAGCGAAGGTATGTCATTCTGTTACAGAAGGTTAATCTATTCAGTGCAATCCTGTATTTATATCTAATATTTAATTTGCCTTTATGCTATCTCAGCTTTATCCATTGCAGGGCTTATTAATTAGGCATAACGTTACCTTGTAGGCCATGTTTGATGGGATTCTTGTGGATATACCATTCACAACATTCTTCTTGAGCAAATTGAAACAAAAGTAAGTTTTTGAATGATTTCCTCTACTCTGAAAGACCTCTCTAGAGATGCTGATACATGTATATTTTTCCTTTCCGTTGATTAGCTACAACTATTTAAATGACTTGCCTTCGTTGGACCCAGAGTTATATCGCCACGTTATTTACTTAAAGGTGATTTTTCTTGACCTGCCTTTTATATCTCTTGTATTCATACTTAATGGAAAAATAGTGACTTTGTTTGTGTGGTTATCCTTTCATGAAGTCTACATGTTAAGGCTCTAGCCTTCTAATTCGTACCTTCCATGCTATGATTTTCAGCATTATAAAGGGGACATCATGGAGTTGGAGCTCTACTTTGTAATTGTGAATAATGAATATGGAGAGCAAACAGAAGAAGAGCTCCTAGCAGGAGGCAAAAACATACATGTTACTAATGAGAATGTCATCATATTTATTCTCCTTGTATCTAACCACCGTTTGAATTTTCAGGTAGTGAGATCCTTCATTTGTAATTAGTTTAATGCATATGTCTTAAACCTTTCATGATGATGACACAATAAAATGATGTCATTGCAGATACGGCAACAAAGTTCTCATTTCCTTAGTGGATTTCAACAGCTTATATAGAAAGATTGGATTGATATGTTCAATGAACATGAATTGCAGGTATTGTGGGTTTACTTTGAAATTTCGTAGGTTATACTCACTTTGCTTTCAATAGTTTTACTTTGAGGTCATTATCTGCCTATTAAACATGATAGGTGGTGTTTGCCGGAATTCCTTCACTTAAAAAAGTTAATGAACCTCCAACTTGTTATGCCCTATGTACTGCTGTAATTGCTCGAGATTTGCAATTCTGTCATTTCTCTTAAAACATTTTTCACTTTTCCTAGCACTAACATGAAGTTTGATTCAACTATACTTTTTAGTGCAAGCCACTTGTCTTCAATTCTTAACATCTTCTCTGTGATGGTTTGAGATCTTGAAACTATTATTGCATTCACCCTGCATGAAACATGTTCTTATCTTTCATATTATGAATATTAATCACTTGAGTGCACCTGCTTAATGTCATTTTGAACTTCACTTAAATCTTTGACATCTATTTTCTTTGCAGCTTCTGATATCAGGTTAACTTGACAGCTTGGATGTTGATGACCTACGATGCCACACCAATTATGCGGGTGGCTATAACGGTGTAAGTTTTTTTTCCCCCTCTCATCTATTTTTTTGTTGAATTGGAATGAGTTATTAGGCACCAAAATGTGATTTGACTTATCCTAGTTTTATTCCTGTTGACATGACAGGAGTACAAATTGTTACTGAATTAACTTGTTACCCTATCTTGTCATTATGATCAATTGTCAGTTCTTTGTATTTGCTTTTAACTGCTTATTTGTCACTTCTTTGACAGGTGCACTATGTCACCGATATGTTTTGGGAAGTTCTTAAAAATTTTTCGCTGGAAAATGAGAAGAAATTTTTAAGTGAGTTACATCATCTGTGATGTGTGTGCTTTTTGTCTTTCTTTGTTGGCTATTTAGCTTCAAGTGTAATTAACATGAGAGAGGATAATAACTAGATGAGGTTCTTTTTATGTTTGTGACTGGGTGTTCTCGAGGACCGTTGCTGGGATTCAAATATCTTGAACCTTTATTTTACATACAGAGGTAATAATTGTACCAAATGTACTCTGGAAATATGATAACTTATTAGTCAGGTGGCTGACAGCAACAGAAGCACAATAGAACACTACTTATTTCTCTTTTCCCACCTCTTTATTCTTTTTTCCCTTTCAGATCCAATAAGAAATTGAAATTTTGCCGTTGGCTCTTTTGCAGAGCCGCTGGTAGTGCCTCTGAAGAAGCATTGGACTGATTACCGACATCAGCTACTTGTATGAACCTTCTAAAGCTTCCACCGTATAGAAGGTTTGTCTCTATCTTTAAATAGCTTGTCATAGAGTAAGAGTTTGAGATGAGAAGCTTTAGTCAATGTCATGGCATCTCGTTGAATTGCTGTTTGTGGTGTTGATAATTCACACTTCCAAGGATTTTAACATGAGGCATGCTAAGAAATCAGAAGTCAATATATTTTAGCAAACAAAATCTGATAAAAAGTTGCTCATCATAGCCATAGTCATTTATTTAGATACTCACTTTTCCCTTTATGATAGTATGATTAACTTCGAAACTTATGTGCTTATGGTGCAGCAAAGAGCAACTAGAAACCAAATTGTTGTATGCCATAAATGCAGATGCTGGTTTTGATTTGAGTTGATATGCCCTGTGAATTCCAATTTTACACAAAGCCATGCTCTGCTGTTAGGTTGAGAACTATACTCCTCATTTGTAATTATATTAAAAATTGGTGTCAGTGCTATGACAATCTCCTAGTGCCCAAGTGTAAAGGATTGTAAGAGCTGCAAGCAAGGAGGCTTATGGTGAAGTGATGAATGCTCTGGGTGATGGCTGGGCATAAGAGTGTATATAGTTGAGTCAATATAGGATTTGGTCAGTGAATTTAGTTGCTGTCACGTGTATATATATTTTACCTATAAACTTGCCTTATGTAAAACTTTTGGTATAAATATGAAAGGCCAAAACCATAAGAGGTAGGCTGCATTTACAGATTTTTAATAGATGAAATAGGTGTCCTGTGCAGCGTTTAGTTGAAATGATACATATGAGGATGGAGATATTCTCTCAAAAAAAAAAAAAAAAAAAAACAAATGCAGGAGGCAGGAGCAGATTCTGAATCTGCAATATTAATGGACTTGAAGATCAGGCGTGCAGTGCAAGGCTCATTGCAGCTTCGCAAGTTTAGTCTTGTCAAGGTGTTCTAAATGTAAGCTATGGCCCAAAGTAAAAAAAATTACTGTTGTATCATCATTTTTAAATGAATAAAGCATAAACATGGTCTGTTATAATATGTTTTGTTGTGAATAATTTCCCATTTTTTTCAATATAGTTATATGCCATTTAAAAGAATCATCAATGCTTGGGTATTTAGCGTAGTTGGTGTCCAATATTTGATATTTTCTCGCTCTTCTCCCGCCTTTTTCAGTATTTTAGAGATGTTAGAAATTTTGTTAGTAATGGTAATACGGTGTATTATTATCGAACATTGTTTCTGATTTTGCATTTTTTTGGGGGTCTAATTTGTAAAAGCTATTCGGGGCAGATGATTATTTTCCAATTTAGGTTAGGTTCTAATTCGCATTATGTAATATTAGAATTGCATGCCCAAGGAGACATTCTCGCTGAATCTGAATTCATTGTCTTTTAACTCTTCTTCGTTCACATTGGTAGATCTTCTGTTATTACGTTTCTCTTTCCTCTTTACGTTCATCTATTCGTGACTGCATCCTCATCCTGGTGATATTTATTTTGTCCTGAAATCCATGGCTGCGATTTTTGTTGGCTTGTAGTTAGACCAACTAGTAGTTTGGAATTGTACAACTTAATCCATGGCAGGGATGATGATTAAGGGTTTGCAATCATGTCACGCCATTGTTACCCTACTGAGATCTATTGGCTTTTTGAGTGAATTACTGTTTCACTTGTTCTAGTAAGCCTGACGAGAATGAAACTAGGAAAATTTTGCCTCAGAAAGAGAGAATGTATTTATACGTACAATCCTTGGTCAGGATGCTAAATCACCTTTTATTTATTTATTTTGGGTATTAAAAGACGAAATTGGAGGCCCAGATCCTTGCTTTTTACACTTAGAAATTGATATCCTCCGGCGAAACCAGCAATCTACGGCCTACTTCCTTCCACTTGCTCTCTAGTTTTTACCCCCACTTTCTACTCTCGTATTACAGAATATTGTTTTTTATCAAGCAGCTCGGGCTTTACCCTCGTTACTAGAATTACATGGACCAGTGATCTGGTGGTCAAAGGAAATTTTTTTTTTTTTTTTAAATCCGAATTGGTGAAAGACTCGAAGCTAAATTGCGCAGCGAAAGTGAGGTGAGGCATTGTTTTCTCATTTGGCTGTACTAAAGCAATTGGACCAATTTTACAAAAAAGAATTAAGAATCTTCAGCTTCGGGAACATCACTCAAGTCGAAACCTTCTGCTGGTAAGTCTGATGTAAGGGGACCCAATATCCCATCAGAGCTCAGAGTAAAGCCACTCTGCAAGATTTATCACAAAGGGAACGCTCAATTTAACCAGATAGCAAATAATCTAACCCCATCCTTTCTACAAGGAGCAAACTACGTAGCAACTAAGATTTTACCTCAGGCTGGAATCTAAGCATGTCCGCACGAGCCATAGCTTCTGCTTGAGCAATTCTCTGCCTGAATGTCTGAGCCATCTCTTCAGCCTGTTAGAAAAAATAAAAGGAAAAGCCATAATCAACGGTTGTTATACTGAGATGATTCAAAGCATCAGAGAAAAATGCATGGTAAATGCAATACATAACAACAAAGTAAGGTCGACATCCAACATGAATTAATTTACAATGCTATAGCAAAAGAGGATTGAGAAGATTATTGGAGACTACCTTCTCGAAAACAAGAGTTGGATTACGAATCATGTCACCAGGGGTAGGTTCTAATTTCTTTGTAGAAAGACTTACTCTGCCTCTTTCTCGGTCATGGCTCAGTATCATGACCTACATCATTTGACATGGTCTCTAAAATACATTTCTAAGAAGCATAAATTCTTGCTAAGAATAAACTTGATAACATAAGTCACCTTCAGAGTGTCACCAGGCTGGAGAACTGTACCAATATCTGAAACACGATCATGACTGATCTGACTGACATGAAGAAGGCCATTAATTCCACCAATATCAATGAATGCACCAAATGGTTTCAGGCTCTGAACAGTTCCAAGAACAACTGATCCAATTCCTAGCTGTGCCTGGCTGTCAGCCATGGCCTTGCGGTTACTGAGGAGAAGCCTGGACTGTTCCTCATCAACCTCAACAAATTTCAAAGGAAGATCCTTACCTAAAAGCTCTTCTGCAGTGGATTTCTGATAAGGCATGAAAGAATAAATTACTAAGGATAATTTGAATTTCCATGTACAACCATACAGAGCTAGTTGGACAAAATGCAATTCATGAGAAACTGGATTACTTGTTACTCCTAAGTTATGATGAACAATTCATAAAACTACTGACATAAGAAAATCAGATTTTGAATACGGAATAGTGGGTAACATACAACAGCAAAACATGGATCTCAAAGGGAATTTAGTGCAAGTAAAACACAGGGTGTCAAAAATATGCAGTTGGGATCACAGAACTAACTGATGATATCTGTGAGAAAGGAACAAATCCCCGAAGGCCCTCCACTAATGCCACTACTCCACCCTTGTTTGCACCAACAACCTACATGCATGTATCAGTTAGTCAAAGAGCACTGAGTGAGAATACATGAATAAGTATAAAATTCAAGGGGAATCCCTAGACAAAAGATACGATTTGCCGTATAAGAGTTTCAACATTATCACAAAAGCAGATACAATTGGCATAGAATACACACCTTTCCCTTGACAACAATATCCTCAGCTTGAAGCTGCCTGCATCGTTCCCAGGCAAGCTCATATTGGATGGCCCTTAAGCTCAAGATTAAGCTATTATCAGCCTCATTTTCACCAATAATAACAAATTCCTCCCTTATACCAGGAACTATACCTGCTTCTTCCACATGTTTAATTTTGTAAATGCTGGCCTCTTGGACTGGTAGATATGCTGAAGATTTTGCAGTAATGTCAACCATTGCCCCATAGGCATCCGTAAAGAAAACTGTTCCTTTTGCCTGAAAATATATACATTTTTCCATTGGCATTATAAAACATCATGCACAACACAAGTTAAAGTTCAATTGCTCTTCATCACAGCCAAAATCAGCAAGAATGAGAAAAACAAGAGAAAAAAAGGCTTTAAAATATAAAACTATATAAACTCAAAATCCAACCAAACCCACCCCCAATCAAAATTTCGACATAATTCACATAAAATACCTCATCTGAGTTCATCCACTAACAAAATCTCAATCTTAACTATTTTGAACTATCAGAACCAAGTTCACATAATCCGCTAATAATTCCTATTCCAAAGCTATAAATTTTGAAACATTGAATCAAATAGAAGAACCAAACGAAAAGAAGAAAAAGCAAAATCAAACCGTGGTTCCAAGCTCAGAATCAAAGTCATTTTTTTCAAGAGCAGTCTGAAAATCCTCAAGAGTGAATGAAACGCCTTCCATAGGAGCAGTACGACAGCGTTCGTAGGCTTCCTCGAACATCTTCTTGAGTTCACGCCTGTCTTTGGTCTGTTTATTTGAGACAGCAACAGCTGAAACTATGGGAGAAGCAAAAGCACCCACCTTTTGTGTTCGCTTTCGTTTTTCCGGAAAGCGAGAAGAGGGTGGTTGACATCTTAGGCCTGTGAATTGTTGAGCCAAAGAGGCCATTGTTTTTCTTTTATCGTTTCCGTTTCTGTGTTCTTTCTGGTGGATGAAATAATAAAAGTGAGATAAGGTAAAGAGAGAAGGAAGAGTGAGGCCTTGGTGCACAAGCACCCGAGTTCGAGCCCCCTCCAGATTTTGTGTGTAGACAATATGTAAGTTCAAAATATTTGTAGAAAATTTTAATAAATCTATAAATCTAATTAAATTGGCGGTTTGAGTACCCACTCCTCCTCTTAAACTTATCTTGACCAAAAATAAATAGATAAATAAAAAGCAAGAGTGGTTGAGTTTGCGAACGTAAAATCAACGGTGCAAAACTAATTAATCGACCCTTACTCCTTCCCTACTTGTTTCAATCTAAAAATGAAAAGCAATTGGATTGGTAGTGATTGGCTGATTGCACATCTGACATCACAAATATGGAATGGTAAAAAATTTAGACTCAATTCCATCCCAAATCCGCCCAAGTCAACCTAAGTAACAATTAAAGAATTCCAATATGGCTAGCCCGCTTTTGTGTTCCTAAAATTATAATCGAGGGATGGGATTATCCGGCTATTATTTCTAATCCAAAGATATTATCCGGGAATCAAATGTTGTTATTAATTATTAAAATGAAATGTAAGCATTTGGCAAATTTGTCTTTTAAAATATTTTGTCATTGATGATTGTTCACACTTAGATGGTTCTCTAAAATCGTTTCCATCGTATCCTGCCTCCCTATAAACAGCAGCTTTTCACCTTTCACACATTAACAAATTATGTATTGACACCAACAAAATATTAGCTCAACATGCCCCTTCAAGGTATGGGAAACTGCATTGTATGTATAACAAGGAATCACCAGAGCGTGTTGTTATTAATTGCACATCAATGATCAAACAGAAGACTGAACATGCAGTGTTATTACGCCATTTAGACAATAGAGAAGGATGAATAAATCTCTATTCAAGCATGCCATCTGCTTCAAGTAAGGGCAAACAACAAAGTGAACAGTTGTACTAAGTCATCTTGAAAATTCTCAAACAAATATAAAAAAGAATAACACAGTAAAATCTACATTTCTAGATATGAATTGGCTTGTCATAGGTGGCCATTGCAGCTTCCTTCAATGCCTCACTCATTGTGGGATGTGCATGGCACACGCGTGCAATGTCCTCAGTTGATGCATCATAATTAATGGCAAGAACTGCTTCATGGATGAGCTCTCCAGCATTGGGTGCCATGATATGGACTTCCAGAATTTTGTCTGACTCCTTTTCAGCCAGTATCTTGACTATTCCTTCAGCATCATCAATAGCCTCGGCTCGGCTATTTGCCAAGAAAGGGAACTTCCCAACACCGTAATCAACACCAAGTGCCTTAACCCGCTCTTCAGTCTTCCCAACGGATGCAACCTCGGGATGAGTGTAGACAACTCCAGGGACCTTGTCATAATTAACATGGCCCTGTTTACCAGCTATAAACTCTACACAAGCAACACCATCCTCTTCTGCTTTGTGGGCTAACAAAGGCCCTGGAATTACATCTCCAATGGCATAAACACCTGGTACATTTGTAACAAATCTTTCATCGACTAAAATTCGTCCTGCCTTATCAGTTTCCACTCTTGTCTTGTCCAAGCCAAGTCCAGCTGTGAATGGAACCCTACCAGCAGAGACCAGAACAACACCAGCTTCAAGTGTGGTCTGCTCTCCACTAGCAGCTGGTTCAACTGTCAACTTCACACCATTTCCTATAGTATCAACTCCAACTACCTCAGTTTTGAGCATGAATTTCATCTTTTGCTTCTCAAGTGCACGTTGGAATTGCTTGCGGACTTCTGCATCCATTGTTGGAACAATATCTGGGGCAAACTCAACAACAGTAATCTCTGAGCCCAGTCGGCCTCAGACAGAATCCATCTCAAGCCCAATGTAGCCTACCCAATGACTATGAGTCTCTTAGGGACTTCGAACAAAGCTAGAGCACCAATTGATGACACAATTCTCTTCTCATCAATGGTGATACCAGGTAAAGATTTGACATCAGAAACAGTGGCAATTATGATATTCTTGCCTTTTACAACAGTGCTCCCACCTTCAAGAGTATCTACGGAAACCTCAGAGGGAGAAATGAACATACCATAGCCTTCGACATAGTTTACCTTGTTATTCTTGAATAGACCTTCAAAACCACGGGTAAGATTAGAAACAGCTTTGTCTTTTTGGGCCATCATGGCGGGCAAATCAACCTCAACAGAAGAAAATTTCACACCATGGGCAGCAAATGAATGCTTAGCTTCATGGCACATGTGGGAGGAATGAAGAACTGCCTGAATGTAATAAAGCAACATTAGAAAGATAAAACTCTAATGTGATATTTAGCCTTTAGGAACTAGGAAGGCAACTAATATAGTTCATCCGAAGACTGAAAGATCAAAGCATATCATATAGTAATCAAGTGGGTATTTTCAACACTGATTAATTGAAGAGAATTGGAAAAGATTATATTCTTTTAAAAATAAAGATAAAAAAAAGAAATCATCTTTTTTTCTTTTCATTTTGTTTAAAAAAATATATGCCCAAAAAGATACAACTAGCAAATGCCATTTTCGACGTTACAAATAGAATAGTCAATCACAGTTTTTTAAAGGGCATTCAGAACAGAAACGGAGACAACCACTTCAATAGCAGGATCAGTTTTATAACCATTTTCTCCATATAATTCAAGACCTTCACAACATTAAAACAAAAGAAAACAAGAAAAACAAAGAAACCCATACACCCATCTCCAAATCTTTCTAAATATTTATAATCAAAGTCGATTCAGCACCCATAAGTTTTTTTTTAAATGAAACCGTAGCGCATACCTCAGAAGGTATACAGATGACTTAGATGCTGACCATGACTTAGATGCTGCTCTTCCCAGTACAATAAAAGACACGAGGAATACTAGAATATTTGGAACCTGGATTTTTGGAGTTTGGTACAGATGAAATACCAATCTGATCCGTTGGTTATGATCAGACTTTTTCCTTTGATTTTCCAACTAAGATGCCCGAAAACGTTAATGGGCTCATCGGACCCAAAGAACTCGTACATTTTCTTTATTTCTTGTATCAATTTATACATTTTTTAATTTATATACCAAAAATATAATTAACTCTTAAAAATAATTACACCTCCAGACCAGACGCCCATAACATGATTAAAAAAAATGCCTCTGATATTCTACAAGACTGCTGGCTGCTTTTTCTAAACTCAGCCAAAAACAGATTGCAATGTTTTCTCCCAGTAGGAGTAACGGTAAATAAACAAGAAATAATTGTTGTTTACATTCAATTGCATTCTAACAAGCTCTTCAATCTATTCCTCGCCTCCTCAGAGAGGTTGGACAGGACAAGACTCAACATGAGCGGGGGAGGAAAAGCAGGTAACATATACTTTGAGGTTATCTGATGAATTCAGGCAAGATGCTCCATTGACTAATTCTCTGGAACATTCTTCCGGGTCATCTTGCTGCCTTTGACAGCAAACTGGCTTGACATTGCATCCCAAATGCCATCACAACCAATGATCAAAAACTCATCATCCTGTGTTAACACAGTCTGTCTAACATCTGGCTTTGCCATCAGAGGTGACTGAGTGAGTCTTGCTTCTTCCTCGTTAGAATTAGAGAGTTTGATGATATATCATTAGTCATTAGACGTAAACGACATCGCATCATCTAGTGCATCTTTACGGAGTATTTCTAAATTATACCCACTTCTTCCACTTCTTTACTCTCACAAATTAAGGAACAATTTTGCCCTTTCCAATCACAATGCAATATATATGGCAACCTCTGTTAGAACCATGATCCAATAAAGCTCCCAAAATCAAGTAAGAATTCTGAATCAAAAACCAAACCAAAAGAGTAGGCATTCAAATAGAGAAACACTGGTAATATGGTGTATATTGCAAAACAAATGCGAATTCTTTGCATCAATATTGAAATGCAAAATAAAATTTTAGAGTATTCCCGCAATTTCATAAACGAAATTGAAAGCAATCCTCCCCCCCCCGCAAAAAAAAAAAAAAAACAACAAAAAACTAAAACACTCTGTCAGTTTAAAGTATCCATGGGTTGGAAACCAGCTTGGGTAAGTAAAGATGGGGGGGGGGGGGGGAGTTAAAAACAGCAAAAGCTGACCTGAACAAGTATTTACACTAACAATTCTGTAACAATGAGTACCATGATACACTCAGGTTTACAACAGTCAAGACTGCATCATAACAACCAGGTTTGAGTATGTTCCAGCCGACAGATAAGCCCCAGTTAATCATAAGCCTCAGTACCATTAGTGGTACACCTTTTAGCAGAAACACCTCCTTCCCCAAGCTGCAGGATCTTGGGATTAAGAGGAATAGTACCAACTGTTAGAAAACCAGAAGATTCAGCAAAACCATTGACTTTCAGAGGCATTGATCCTACTGTTACCACCTCAACAGCAGTAGCATTCATAGCACCAACTGTAGCATCTGCAGAAGGTTTAGACTCATCCTGCTTTGTATTTATAGTGAGCAAGCCAATCTTTAAAGTAGCTGCAGCATTGTTAGCAATTTGCTCTAAATTTTCATCCATTGTTCTTGCATTAGTTATATCAGAATCTGCAGACACCTGCTGACTAGATGAAGGAACAGTTCTCTTCAACATGTCAGGATCACTTTGCTTGGCAGTTTTCTCCTTGTCATTCAGAAGTAGCTCAACATGGTTTAGCTTATTGACAGGATCCAATGCAGGTGCTAGGACAGGGCTGTCAAATCTTTTAATTAGTAGCCTGGCTTTCTCTTCTTGCATGATTCTTTGACGATTTTCATAGTACATAAAGTCATCAAGTAAAGAGGTCTTCATTGTATGATTTTTGAATACTTTCAGCACCTCCATACCTTGCTTGTACATTATCTGCACTTGGGCAAACATTTTATAAGAAACAAAACAACAACATGAAGGTCTTATCAAGACCATAATCCTGGAGTAAGCAAATCAAAATTCACCAACCTTGATTGCCATGTCAAGACTCAGGAGAAATAAACTTAAAAGAATAGTAAACTAGTTTCTATGTTCATAGTTTGCCTTCAATTAGAAGAAAGCTAAATTTCTGAACATACCTCTTGTGTATCCCTGCTATTAGTCACTGGCTTGTTTTCATTGTTCTCTAATATGATGTGTCTAAAGTGGCTATTTGGAACATCTTTAATGATGTGCCATTTGACAGGGAAGCTTCCGCTCCACTTGTCTTGCTGCCAAAAATCCATATCCTTCTGGAAGTCAACTGGGCCAATCATCTCCGCAACACCACAGAATTGTCCACTGGCATTAACCTGTGTGGACAAAGTACCACATTGAAGTAGTTAATGAATATCAGAAAATTGCAAGCCACTTATATTTAACAAAAATCTATAATGACATAAGTCAATATAAGTCCAGTAATATCCAAACAGGTATAGAACTCACAGAAAAGAACAGGAAGATCGGACAGCCGCTAGGTTTCCCCACACCTTTTTTCTGTGCACCTTCAAAAGCACTCTCCAGTTTCTTGTTCCCATGTGGTGTAGATGACCAAACATTGTATTTGATGCTCTTGTGTACATCATCCTCGCTATATGATTTTATTACAAAAAACTTTGCATCAACATAGTCAGTTGGAAAATCATCCTTGTTATATTGGTCAGTATAGATAATGACGTTTCCTTCAGCATCATCACTATTTCCAGCTTTAGTTGTGTAGGCTTTAACCATGAGTTGGTTTTTTAATCTGTTGGTTCTAGGACCTCGATTCTGTTCACCCAATGTATCTGGGAATCCATGCACATCACTCAAAACCCTGCCAACATGGATCTTGGATTGAAGATTATCCAGTGCACCAAGTCCAGGAGCACTTGATCCATAGTCAGGGAAGGCATTACCAACAGGAAGATCCATTTTTAATTGAAAACGATGAAATGAAAGTTTCCCACCAGGAATGTTGCCAATGGGCTGAATGGACCCAGAAGCAATTCTACCCTACAAAAATAATTACTTGATAAGAACCTTCAAATGCGGTACTCGGTAAGAAGCCACAGCATTTCATCAAAATTCAAGAAAGTCCAATTCAATGTAAGTTTAAATTAGAACCTAAGTAAATGCACCTGATGAACACGTGCTGTAGCTGGACCAGAACTATCAAGAAAGTTTCCATGGACTGCAGAATGCTTACTTTGTCCATCCAATACCCTGTTCATGGAATCTGTCTGATTTGGAGCAGACTTTGAAGTGTTTCTAGGAAACACTACAGATGCTGAAGCAAGACCATGTTTAACTCCTCTTCCATCAGGTCTATTAGCAATTGAAGCATGAGTATCAAACAAAGATTCTGTTGAACTATTTCGAATGCGATCAGGTTGAATAACAAAAGGAACATAAGCAGTTGGAGATATGGGGTTTTGATAAGGGGGAACAGTGTAATATTGTGGTGCCCCTACAAATGGGCTGTCACCCATCACAGCACCAGGAATGTAAGGATTGTATGGGTTGTATGGAGACTGTGCATATCCATAGCTAGGTGTGTAACATACATAAGGCAAAGTTTCAGTTTGGGCACCCTGAAGAAGAGAAAGCAGGCCTTAAGCAAAATTTGAAATGATAAATCACTAAGAAGCAACTTGTCTTGAATGCATGTCTGACTATTCAAATGTATCTATTATAGAGTTAGAAAGATTAGTTTACCCACCACATATTGGACATCTGGACCATCCGCACTAAAAATATTTTGGTGGTCCTCCCATTCAACGGGTGATTCAAAACCTGTCCAAATACAATAAACAGGATACACTTGAGATTCTATAAGTACCACCCATGTACATCACACTGAAGGAATTTAAATTACCAGTACAGTTATATCCATAGTTGGTGGCAGTAGGGTAGTACATTCCCTGATCAATAACAAACTCAGGCGCTCCTTCCTGGTACATAGCTTATACTTGTTCAAGAAGTGGACTTTTCCTATGTGGTTTTAGCCAAGAAACTTGAATCTGAAACTCAATACACCAAATGTCATTGATAATACACATCTACAGGAATACAAGAATAATAACAAGACGCACAAGAATACATAAGAGAAGCCCAAGCAAACCATCAAACAAGATTTTTTTTAACTGATTAAAATACCCAATAGCAACTGTCTTGAATTACTAAGAAAATTTACCAGGATTGTTTCTGCATTTGGATGTTCAGAAATACTATACATATCCACTTGAAGAATGCCACCCCTGTAAAAGTAGACAGCATAAATTTTATGCATCCACTACTGCTTCGGCAAAGCTCACCAAGGATTTCATTTTACTAGTCAAACAAGAGAAAGTAAAAATGGGCAACCTATTATTGATTGATGAATCTCCAGTAAAACCTTTTTTTCCTGGTCATACTTAAAATGGGAGGAAAAAAACCATACATAAGTGAGTAGCACATAACAAGCACCAGTCACTTAATTAAAAGAGCCAAGTAAAAGAGATAATAAAATAATCCAAGGGGAACCCTATAAGAAAATCACATGGTCAAGAAAGAGGCTTCTATTTTGGTTGGTCAAACCAACACCCGTAGAAAACCCCTGGGTTAGGAAAAAAATAAAAAAGAGCAAAAAAGAAAGCATTTCAGGTATAGAAAACACTAAAGAAAAACAAACACGAAAAGGCAGCGATGGCATACACGGAAGCATATTCCATTCAGCTACTAGATTTGGAAGCAGAGAGGGAAAAAGAAAAGAGGGGAAAAGCCTTGTAAGTTAGCAACTCTTAGAAATCCCCAAAAAAACAATTTAAATTATGATATTAGTTGAAGCAATTTCAAGAAACAAAGGTACAACACTCAAAATACCCCACGCATCCATCAAAAGCAACTCAATAAAACAATAATAAGCTCAACAAAACACCACAAAACCAGCTCCAGATCAATCTTTAAATGAATAATCTCAAGTTTTCAGGTGTCCAGCTATTGTAAAAAGGGGTAAAGATCACTCAAAGCAAACCAGCTTCAGAGGTAAAAGTAAAACTGGCTATAAACAGGGGGGTTTGAAGAGAGAATTGTACCGGAAAAATCAAAGAATCAAGCCATGGTTGACCTGGATAGTTGCTCCGAAAACTCCCCCAACTTGTAGACAGGAAAAGAGGTTTTCTGCAACATTTTCTACGAAGAGAAACCCTAGACCTGTAAAATAAAAATGAGTAACAAAACTAAAAGAAAAAAAAAAGGGTTGGTAACAGGAGAGTTGAAAAGGGCCGTTGGCGTGGTTTAAATTAAAACAGAAAACCAGAGAATGGATTGACGATAATGGTCCCGATTGGTTTCGTTAATATCGGGACTGCCACTCCCTTAAACGTCGTAATTTGACGTTTCAATTTTTAAAACTAACGCGGACGTTGTCGCGTCACGGAGTGCTTCGGCGTTTTGCGATGACAGGCCAATCATGAATCAGGTTATGTGTTTCTAAAATCTGTTTGTCAAAAAGCAATATTTAAGCTAGTAATGAAGTTATTGGGTTTTTTTTCTTTGGTTTCTAATTCCTTAGCAAGTAAGTCTAAGCATTGACTTAAGTAGTTAGTAATTCTAACATTTTTTTTCATAAATGCCAAATCACTTAATATTAGTTAACACACTGCATTACGAATTTTGGATTGAATCCAAAGGCTTATGTTATTTAAGTAAATGAATATGCCAAATCGTTTTCGATAATATCGAATTAATAGCTCATTGATGGAAAGTAATTGTACTGTATTTGAACGGAAGGTTTTTACAAAAGCAGATGAATATTCAACATTGAATAGGAATGGTTCAATATTTTTTTATGAGGTCATTTAGTAATATCATTTTTATGTCTTGTCTCATCACTTGTTAATTTTTTATTACAATTTTATAATTGTTCGATTATATTAAAATTATTTATAAAAAATCATTACTTATAATATAGGTTTCATATAATTCTTTTTTTTTTTTTTTATAAATCATACATTATTTTAACATCATAATTGATTAATTATAATGCTATAATTATAAGTAATATATTCTCTTTCAATAGATATCAATGGATGACAACTGGAAAATTGTTATTCAAATTGGCATCAAATATGTACCTGATGCTTATTTTTGTAGCATTGTTTTTGTTGTGTACCAATTTAAAATTTATCATAACTAGAAGTACATCTATGCATTGTTGCGGTTTTATTAATGATGTATTTAATAAATTAATTAGTATAGTTTTATTTATAATTTTTTAAAAAATATAATTATTAATGAAAATTTATCAATTAATTTGTGTATAATGTGTGCATTTCATTTTAACACCTTATATAATAAATCAAATCCAAATTCACTCTTTTTAAATTTATATTTTTAAATATAATTAAAAATATTAAAATAAACAATTAAAAAAACAAAAGAAAGCTAAATCCACTTAAGAATGATATCTTATTTTTTAATTGCTCCAAAAAGCGTTGTTATTATATGTGTTCATAAAACAAAGGCAAAGAAGATAAAGATAAAGATTAAAAAAATAAAAAAAAGAGTTGAAGAGGTGAGAACCCAGCATGAGGATTGCTAAAGGTCAAAGTTGGTCAGATTTGTAAGATTTATAGTGGATGTATATGAGAAAAAAAATTAAAATAGATGAATTATCAAGCATAACTTTTAAACATACATATTCATATTTATCTTAATTTTTTAATGTTATTAACATCCGCATACTATAAAGTTGTTATATATATATATTATTAAATATACATTTAAAATGTTTTGTTTTCACATATTATAATTTTATATCAAATTCAGCATTTGGATAAAAAAAGTAATTGAACTTTTCATCAATTTTAAAAATTGGCATTTTTTATTTTTTTGTCTTTATATCAATTGATAAATAATTTTGTTAAAACATCAACTTTATAATTTTTTCCAAAAAAAAAAAAATCTTCCTATGTAAGCCATACGTGCATGTTTAGGAAAAAAAAAAAAAGAAAAAAACCAAAAAAAAGAGAAGAAAAAAATAAAAAATAAAAAAAAAAGATAAAAAGGGTTGAAGAAATGAAAAGGCATTAACATGTGCATAGGCCACTACAGCAAAATGATGTATTAGCGATAATTTTATAGTAGTCTTTCACTTACAAACGTCGCTAGCTTCTGTGTTTTTACAAAATTTCAAGCGTTTATTATTCAAATGCTACTAAATATTTAAATAGTGGCATTGTTACTTATAAACGTCAACGAAGACTTGATATTAGAGACGCTTCTCAATTAAATCGTCTTGAATATTTTTTATTAAAAGTTTCGATGAATAGTTAAGGCGTATTTTTGACAAACAACGCCTTCAATAATCACGTCATAAAAAATTGTATGAGATTAAAGAAGGTGTTGTCTACAAGAAACAATGTTAATATTTAGACCAAAATTTTTTTCAGTCTTATTAAATTTATTTTTTTCAAAAGCTCAACCAATATTAAGCTTATCAAATTGTTAGCATCGTATAGATGTTTAATTACCATAAAATTATTGGTTCGATCCGTCCTTCAAGGTTTTTTTGGGTTAAGGCACATATTATTTGTTATTGATTATTCTAGGCATTTTCTTGGTATAAACGTCATCACCAATTGCTTTAAAAAATTTATCATAGAATATTGAAGGCGTTTTTCGTTAAGAGACGCCTTTAATAATCGATAGGAAAAATATGGGGTCGATTATTGAAGGCATTTTTGATCGAACTCACATTCTATAATCCAGTAAATTTGTTTTGAATTTTTAAAGGCGATTTTATAATAAACGCCTTCAATATTCCATAAACAAAGCTTGGATGGGTTGGTTAAAGGCATTTTTAGCTCAAAATGCCTTTAATATTCGCAGGGATAATTTTTAATGGTCGGATTATTAAAGACGGCTATATCCAAAAATGCCATCATAACTTTTTGTTGGGATTATTGAAGGTGTTACCCATAGGAAAATGCCGTTCATAATCCATCCGATTTATTTTTAGTTGGTATTATTGAAGGTGTTTTTTGTCCAAAATACCTTTAATATTCCAGACAATAATTTTTTAGGGGAATTATTGAAGGCGATTTTGGTAAAAAACGCCTTCAATGTTTTTCGTATGGGTGAATGAAGGCGTTTTCTTGCTAAAAATGCCTTCATTAATCGCATCAAATAAACATAATTGATATGTGAAGTTAGATGTACGTTTATGCCTAGAAAAAATGTTTATTGTCAGCTGTATATTTATGCCTAGAAAATATTTGGTTTATATATCTGATACTATGAATTACATTTTGGAATTTGCATAATGAACATTGTTGTATTCCAAAAAATTTACCACACATCCGAAATTAAAACTGATAACGTTGCCATATTAATATATTTTTCTGAAATAATCGTACTTATTAATTTAATAATTACACATATTATATTCATATTAAGTATATCAATAATATTAAACCAATATCTAGCCCCAATGTACAAACTTAATGTTTCCATTCAACATTGCATGTTAACAACATTAATAACAATTTGTTCCATATATATTTACAATCAACCAACAATGTCTAACCTGAAGGTTTATCAAAATTGATAAATGACAATACATAATCACACCATTCTTTACAGACTTTATCTAGCTCCTCTTCTGTGAAGCTTTTTTTACCTTCCAACTAAAAAAATATATAAGAAGTAAATGTTAAGAAATAAGAACATAATGTACAATTTTATTTTTTTGAATATATAATGAGTTTATGAAATTTATACTAACCTTGAATGGTGTGATCATAAAATCATGTAACACAATCTCCCGCATAAAATTAATGATATAATATCCACATTCAGTATTACTGGGTTGACGAAAAACTTGAAAATTAAATTGAGTCGGTTTAGAAAATAGTTATCTACACAAACTCAGCATTAAAAGAATAAATTTGACATTTACCGATAATTACACCCATTTCGGTTTTTTTATCTTCTATTGAATATAGATATTACCCTAAATTGAAAAGGAAAAAAATTATTGGGAACCTAAAAAAAAATTTACAATATGAAGAAACAGAACATATATAATATAATAAAGTACTGTAATACCTCTTTATAAAAGTTTCAATATCGGGGTTAGGCATCCTCGTTGGATTAATTGAATTAAGAAGGTGCACTCAATGACAATTGTAAAATAATAACAATGATATACTTAGAATAAGCATAAGATCATAGAATGGAGCAGATTGGAGTAATTAAGGTTTGAATATAGCTTACTACACATTATACGGGAGCAAATAATAATTACCCGATCTTTTCACGCATTGGATCACATGATTAGCATGATACACGACTGTGCCACTCTGCTCACTAAAAAAGTTAGGGTCAATGAATTGAAATCTGTTCGTCAATTGTCTCCCCTTTAGCTTTCTATATAGGAAGCTACATGATAACAATAAATACTGCTAGTTAGTATTACACCCTAATACTAACTTACTACATATTAATATGCATATTTGTATTTATAAGCTTACCTCATATAAGTAATGATTTCAGCAACTGATAATTCATCCATTTCACAAAATTCTTTCACCTCATCCACACCAATGAAAGAAAATGATTGTTTATCAAATAAGTCTTCCTCAGCTTCAATGGATATGAAGTTTTCATTGGTACATTTGTCCAACGAATATTTTGTTAACTCATTCATGGAAGCTTGGGCAAGGGTCAGACGTTGAGGCTGAATATCCTCATACAATATTAAACTTATCTATAAGTATTAAAACTAAATCACTCAATATTATAATCAAATTAATATTCAAATTATAACAAAAATCTTACTTCTTGGGTGGTAGTAGATGATGGGATCACTTCGTTACTTGCATCGACAGCTTCTTGTATGGGGATGATGCTATCAGGCTGGGGTACTGGCATTACCTGTTGTATTGCTGCCAACACGGACTCCAAAGCAGTGAGTCTTTGCTGTTGGTCATTGAGGCGTTACTCCTGGTCATTAATTTGTTACTGTTGCTTACAAAATTATTGCTTCATATTATGTATTTCTCATTCGTGGGGGTTTTTGCTTGTTTACCAAAATACGTTGATGGCAAGATAAATTTACCAACCTCACGAATCCGACCAGGCCTTTCTTTAGCGCCTAATGCTAAAGATAAATGATTTTCGCCATACTAGGTTACTAGTTCACTAGATTTTACTTTGACAGCATAATCATCCTGAAAGATAATAATAAGTTGGGCTGTTAAACAAATCTACACAAGCTAGTATACACTCATGCATACAACCACATTGTCAATCATACATTATAGTAAAAAAGTAGTTATACATATAATCTTTTTTATCAGTTCCTCGATTACTTCATCTGCGAAGCATCCATCATTCCGTAAATATCCTTGTTTTTAGACATTCCATCTAGAAACTTCTGTGTTTGAGCTCACTGATTCTCATTAAATTACCGTAATAAAAGAATTAGAATGTATGAAATTAATGTTCATAAATATTCATTAATGAGTATAAAACAAGTGTGCGAAGACATACAAGCTTAAACTTCATAGTTACATATCATTTTCTTGTTGTTCGATGGTGATATTACCATTTGGCTCGAATGTACCGATGTTATTCTTTGATTTTCTACAAAATCAAGAAATTACGTTAATCACATATAAAAATCAAAGGCTATATTGCATAAAGACTTATAAACTTGGTTTAATTTGGTAATGGGTTTTCGTACTGAGAAATCTTCTGAAAGTCGATATTGAATAAAATTTATCCAATCTTCCACACTTATGACATCTGCATATGGTTTAATTTGGTAATGGGTTTTCATACCGAGAAATCTTCT